TTGAAGAGTGTTTTTTTCTTACTAATCATCATCTACGATTTTTTTTTACATACAATACAATAAACATTAAAAAACCATTTATTTCCCAACATGAGTATGACAAAATGGATTTATATTGATCGTGAATCGAAAATATAAAAAGATATCCAAAGGGATGTGTTTACAGAGTTAATTTTAGTGCTAATTAAACACTTAATACTAATTGTAGTGCTAAACCACATCCCCCCAATTGGTTTAACATTTGAGAGTTGGTTGCGCTCTACTAGGCTCTACTCAGTTCCCTACTATTAAAGTAATACAAATTAGTGGAATATTAGATATTGATTTGTTTTGCTTTTGGTACGTTGGTTTTTGGGTCGCTGAAATATTCTAAATTCTTACCTGCGAATCTGAATTTCTACTAACAGTCACCGCCACCATACCTCCCTAGGTCAACAAACGAGCACAACCTACTCTCAGATAAATGAGTTCAAGACTAAGGTCGATGTACTTACCATGCTTAGGCACAAGAATTTTGTCTCACTTCTGGGCTACTGTGAAGATAGTGATGAGAAGTTTTTTGTGTACGAATACATTCCTTCGTCATTGGTTGCATTTCCTGCTTTACGGATAGTCGACGTGTCCAACAAAAACTTACGTGGAGTAATTCCAGAGTTTAAGAAATACGTGAAGTTTATCTACAAACCAGAGAATCATTTTCTTAAGCACAAGTCAAGAAAAAGTATTTCAGTTGCCATAGTAATTGGAACCTCAGTAGGAGCTTCACTTGTCATTCTAGCCATTATAGGTCTAGTGGTTTGGATGTGCAAATTCAGAAAAACCACAACTACGGAAATAGAAGATGTTAGCAGTGCATCAATTGTGAGTGATGCTATCGTTGAAAGTGGACATGAAGATAGTATCCATATTCGATAGAGACTTCAAAATGCCACTAAAAATTTTAGCAGTGAAAACATCTTAGGAAAAGGAGGTTCCAGCGTTGTTTATAGAGGAGAACATTCTCAATGCGGTTTGATTGTAGTCAAGAGGGTGGACTCTAAAGCCATTGCTGAGAGAATGATGAATGAGTTCAAGATTGAGGTCGATGTACTCACCAAGCTTGGGCACAAGAACTTGGTCTCAATTCTTGGCTACTGTGAAGATAATGACGAGAATTTTATTGTGTACGAATACATGCTTCAAGAACGTTGGCACAACATCTATTTAACTGGAGAAAAGTTCGTTCTGCTTCTTTAACATGAAAACAACGGTTAACCATAATAAATTAACAAACTTTAACCCGTTCTTCCTATTCTTCTACTTCATGGGTTCATTAGTCTCTCTCTAATCGATCAATCAATTTCAAATTTATCAGGTTTGTATTTACGGATCGATTTAGAAGTTATTCATTGGGATCAAAATTATTGTGAACAGAACCAGGTTATATAAAACCCTGATCTCGC